GGTAGACTTCTTGCATAATTTGGTTTCATTCAGCAGGACTCTACAAGAGTCCTCTGCTGGTTGTATTCAGTGCTTTTGCAAAAGCTTATAAAACATGTATTTTTGCTCCATTCAGATAACAGGAGTTTCAGAATTCTACTTTCACTGATCGTGGATATTAGAGAGGTATGATAGTTTTTTAACACATGCAAGATACATGTCTTAAGGTTTAGTTTAAAAATAGAGTAACAGCGGTGAAACCCATTCTTTGGCCTCCAAAGCCCTAGATACAAGGACCTCTGCAAATGACTGTCTCAAACAAGTGAAAGGTCTAGTTTTGTTGGCTGATTAAACAAGTGTTGTCATTCCAGAAGAGGGAAGCATTTGGGCATTAATCTGTGAACCTGAGGTGGTATCTTGATGGCATCTTTGATCTCCAAGTACTCTAGAATGGTTATCACGTTTACCTAGTTACTTTATGACCATGAGAATGCAGGGTGCCCTATCTGCCAGGAACTTCAGGGCTCACTTGGAAATGTAGCTTGACTTGATGTTCTGTTCAAATCCAAATTGAAGTTTCAGCCTTCAGTAATCTTGCCAAATGTGTGCAAGAAATATCTATGAGCTGTTTACCAACATGTCCTCTTTGTTATCCTTTCATGTTAAATGTTTCTCAACATGCAATTTGTCAGTGGAGATTGGAGGATAATAGGTCAGAAAAATATTTCAGGTTTGAAAAATGACTTCTTTTGTCTACCAGAGGTAGTGGCCAGCATTCGGAAGGATGGTTTCTGCTCTCTTCCCCCACCTTCTTCTGATAAGTTGTCGTAAGAACAGGCCGTTCCTGTTTGAGGTAAATTTTGACCTGGCATCTCTGTAATCAGCCATCTGTGGCAGCTTCCTTGTCTATAACAGGTTGAGTTCTGTTGTCATTTCTCCGTAGTTTATCTGACATGCTACTTTTTCTTCCACAGAGGAGAAGAAAAAACTAGTTCGAGAATTTGATGAGAAACAGCGTGAAGCAAATGAAACGGTAAACATTAAGTCTAGACTTCTGGCCTTTCTGACCAGTTGAAACATTGATGCCATAAAAAGGACAGTACTTCCAAATTTTACTCTCTTTGTGGTTCCTATGCTGGCAGACAAATGTATTTTTTTAATGTTTGAGTCATTGATCTGATAGATGTGTCTTTGTTTGCCAAGACTGTTGTATATATCTATATACATTTATAGGTATAGACAAATATTCTTAGATGCATATTTTTTCTTTTGAGTGCTGTTTGGGTATTGCCTTCCTTTTGTTGAATAAAGGAGAGTGATAGAAGTGCAACTACAATTGCTAGAGATTGTAGGGAGGGCATGTAATGAAGCTTCCCCCCGCCCCCTTTTTTTTTTCCCTACTGTCTTTTCTTATGTTGATCTTAACCCATCTGACCTTGCTATAATAGTCTGATGGTTAAATATCAGGGATCTTGAACATTTGAAACATCTATTGTATAGGCTTCCTGAACAGCAGATGATGTGGAACTGCACAAATAGCCCATGTGACTTCTTTTAAGCAAGACATTATGGATTAAGCTTTCTTTTCTTCTTAGGATGTTTTTGAGTCACAGCTGAACATTCTTTTGAGAGAGATGCTTTATTCCTCTAACTTACTGGGGTTTATTGACATGTATCTCTGTAGGTGATGTACGAGATATAGAGCTCATATTGTGAGAGAGCTCATATTGACGGACAGCTTTAAGCATTGTGAATTTGTAACGACTGTCACCAAAAGTTGATATGAAAATTCACACATCTGCAATCCCGGGGTTTACAAATCCTAACTCCAGTTGCCAGGCCTGGAAGTTCAGAATATAAATTTAGTGGCATGCCTACCTATGCAGTAGATCTCTGTTGCATAGATATGATGAGAAGCTGCTACCCATCGTATAAATGCTTAAACAATATGAAAGTGAGAACTGCACATTTTGAAGTTATGGACTGACATTTCAGAAAATATCAAGCATTTAAGCTTGGCGATTTAATTTTTTTGGTTTTTTTTTTTCTTTTTCCTTGAGGCATTGTGTATCTGAAAATCCCTGTGGACTGAACAGCATTAGGCAGAATGTATACTCAATACTAGATGAGGGGTAAAGGGTTTGAAGTTAACCCCCACCACCACCAATCACACACATAAAAACATGTAAATCCCTTCATCTGGGCGTGAGTTCTGAGTATAGCTGCTGCTAAGAATAGATTTGGTGCTTTAAAAAATAAACACTTTTTCTTTTGTTAAAGTTGCGGGAAATGGAGGAAGAACTGAAGTATGCTCCTCTGCCTTTCCGGAACCAAATGATGAGCAAAATCCGGGCATACAGAAGAGACCTCTCCATGTTCCAGAGAGAGATGAGAAGCACAGATTTGGGATTGGGCCCTGGAAGTCAAGGCGATATAAAATACGGAATCTTCTCCACAGAAAATGAACAGAGTGTGAGAATTAAATATAAATTTTATTTGACATTGCTGTGATTGCTTAAAAAACTATTCCAGTGTTTCTACTTTAATCCACATAGCTTCTGTGCTTGTGTAACTCCCTGTGTATCTCTCTGCATGTAACAGGAATATCTCAGGGAGGAGAAAGAACGCCTGGAACTCAAAGGAGAGCTTTTCTGTTCTAAAACAAAGATACGAGTATAACCAAAATGGAAGTCCTTGAATGCCATGCAGCTAGTAACTTACACAACACTCTGTACTGAAGTGCTTTATTTAATCATTCCTGTAGAGCAGTGAAAACACGAAAGTGATGCTACTGACTGAGAAGAAAAGTTAACTGATCTAGTTTTAGTCTCCAAAACTAGCAAACTCTGTGAATCAAGCACTGCATAGGTTCTTTGATAGAATTCTCTTTTAGGCAATCGCAGTGTAAATAATTTCAAGAAAATACATAAGTCATCCTCTAGCACTTCATTCACTATGATGTGCTGCTACAGTGCAGGAAATACACCAATGTCTTTGTTTACCAGGTATGCTTAGATATATTTGAGCTAGTGAGACTGAATCATCTTATTATCTTCAACGTGCTGTCATCTGTACAGAAAGTTCATGGAGGTGAGCTCTGTGTTTGTCTGCCTCAGATAAGGAAGGTCTGAGGGAGGCTCTTGCCTTAGCATCTCGTTCTGCGGTAGCTTGGTAAATTTTTGCATTTGATTCCTCTTGATTGGTTCCTCCAAAACCTGAGAGTAGGGTGGTAGGTCAGACTTTCTGAAGCTTAAGAAAATACTTTATTTTGAGCTACCTTTTGACCCCAAGGTCAGCAAACATTTCTTATCCTCCAGCAGAGGCTACTGGCACGAAAAGAGGATCTTTGTTGCTTAGCAGTCCATCTGTTAGTGCTGTTTGTTCCTAATCCTTTTGACTGTGTAAACTTAATGATCTCCCTGGCAACCAACTGTGAAGTCACAGATAAGACTGAATTTAGATAGGAATGGAAGGAGAAGTTAGCATCTGGAAAGCAAAGATACTATTTCCATGTAAATGTTCTTTGACGGAAAAGTAAATTGTTGCAAAGACAGGTTTTTGTAACTGTTTTAACTCTTCAGTTGCGTGTCCTTCTTTTTCAAGGTTTAACCAGATTTGGCCATAATCTCACAATGTGAACAAGAACTCTTTCAGAATTAACTGGGCTACATCCGTTAACGTAAGAAGCATGTGCGGCTAATACAAACGGATGGCCTGTGGAGTCCCATCCTAACTTTTGAGTATGTCAGAAGCCTAATGCCTCTCTCTTTGTGCTTAATAGTGAAGCATGCGTTATTTTTCAGACTAACCTGCAGTCACAGAGGGTGCTGCTTCTCCAGGGAACAGACAGCCTGAACCGAGCCAGTCAGAGCATTGAGCGCTCGCACCGAATTGCTGCTGAAACAGATCAGATAGGCACTGATATAATTGAAGAACTTGGGGAGCAGCGGGAGCAACTGGAACGCACCAAGAGCAGAGTAAGCAGGGAAACTGCGGGCATTGTATTGAAACAACCTGATGTTAGCTTAGTGGGAACTGTATGCCAGTAATTTCTCTCAGAGACCTCCCTAGGCATGGTAATCCACTTGATGTTTCTACGGACCAAATCCAGGCTGCCACATTTCTGTGCTCATAAAAGGAAAAAAAATTACTATAGAAGGGCCCAAAACACGATGGCCAAGTGTCTGCTGCTGTGTCTGTGCAAGGTTGGATATTAGATCTATAAACCACAGCTAAAAAAAAATAGAATTACTGAAAAAATTACAGATTTAAAAGAATGCTAAGGAGTTGCCCACCACTAGCTTACTACTAAACGTTTAGATTTGGGAGGCGGTTAGCACGTTCTTCTGATGAACTGAAATTTAGTAGAAGCTTAATCACTTAATTACTAACCTTCAATATTTGTAGGTTAGCTAAGGAGGGAGAAGGCAGTGTCAGACAAGATGCCTGTCCTCATCCCCAGGTCAAGCAGCTCTGCTTCTACTGTGGAAGCTTTAAGAAGTAGTTCACTTGTTTTGTGTACACACATAGGCAAAACTGAGAATTCAATTTCTGAAGTAACAAACCGATGGATTTTCTGTATGTACAAGGGATCCTGAGTGTAAAGCTTTTAGGCAAGTGACTTGCAGGGCGATGCTCAGTTTGGCAAGTAAGCACGCTCAGCCAAAACTAAAAGCATACCCTTTTTCTCGGGAGTTATCTCCACTCATTGCAACAAAGCCTGTAGCTTTTTCATTTAAGTAGTTTTTCAGTTTCAGTCAGAATTTTATTTGCCCTGCTGCCAAATTTGGGCTTGCGAGCAGGAAGGAAAATGTGATCTTAAGATTTGTAGGTATAGTTTTTGTCTGTTCTTCTTCTGATTAAACATATTATAGTCCTCCAAGCGCGTCAGGCTACCCACAGTTGTTGATGAAGCTGTGACTTTTATTGTGAACCTTTTAGGTGTTGTATTGCTGAATTGTATTAAACATGCATTCCAACTAGAAGCAGGCTTTCTTTTTGCTTGGTCTTTCAGAGCAAAGATTGGAAACCTAGTAAGCTCTGAATGGACCTTGTAGTTCTCTTCCCGACTTGGTCCAGTCGATCTCAGTGCCAGGTAACGCGCCTGCGGGGCCAGTTTTGCCGTTGAGGGCAATAGCTTCAACTAGAGAGGAGTTGTGCAGGCAGGTGTCTGTGTGCGGTGCTGGAAAGTGTCCTGGCCTACCTTTCACTTCCCCTGGAGCTTTGGAAGTGGAATAGCGAAATCTTACCTGGATACCTCCAGTGGCCATGTATCGTGAATCCTGACTCTGTCTGTAAGACAACAGCTTTTTTAGTTGTCTGTAACCTCACTTAATTATGTGCTTCTTAACAGCTGACTGAGAAATACGTGACAGTTCATTTCTGAGCATTACGAAGCTGAAGTGGATTATCTGTTAACAGCTCAGAGCTTGTATCCACTGCGTCAGTTAGACCCGTCAGTGCAGCAGGGTTCCTTCTTTGCTAGAAATTGAACAGCATTTCAAACAGTTCCAGAAATGCACTGGAGAGAACATGTCAGTATAATTTTCTTCTGGTGTCAACAACTAGAATAATCATAGAATCATAGAATCGTTTAGGAATGAAATGAAATTTAATGAAAGGAGCTAATGCCAACTTTCTGGTATTTGTAGATAAGAGGCAGAAAGCAATCCTAAATTGCGTATCTTTGTATGTATCTAAGGGAAAAAGTATACATGAAAGTCTTATTGTCTCCTTTCTAAGGAGGAAGTGCTTTCAGCTTGTATTGTGTGTAGAGAACAATGCTGGCTCTGAATTTTGAGAAGACATGGTTAGCCTGGGTCCCATTATTAATTGCAGCATTTCAACACCAGCTACTTCCAAGGGCATCTTTACAGAGTTGCTCTGTACTTGTTCAACTGGCAAATAACTTACTCTTTCTTCTCAGTTGGTGAATACGAGTGAAAACTTGAGCAAGAGTCGCAAGATTCTACGTTCTATGTCCAGGAGGTGAGTAGCGGGACCGACTCGGAGCACCACTCAGCAGGTAGCATTGTTGCCTGCTGGTTTCAGGGAAAAAATAAGGAATAGGGTGTCAGCTGGAACTGTGGGGATGTTTTAGGGAATATGTAAATGGAATGTGTGCCCATGTGCAGATGCTAATTTGCATTTTCTCCTCTCTGGTAATTACTTAATGGAGTACAGGTAGTTGAACACTAATGAATTCATGCTGCTCATTTAGGATAATATGGGGTCTTTAACTGTCCCGTGTGATAAACTGCGGTGAGGGGAGGGATTTGGACATACATAAGCAAGTTACAGTGAATTGCTAATGGTAGCTTCAGATGCGACGCCATGTTATTCAGGTTGCAAAAAACTGTGCCATAAATCACTGCAGCATTAAGTGATTTAGTTGTCTGATGACACAGACAAATCTGTTTAGCCCACTGTAATGCCCTGGAGTAGCTGGACTGTCGTATGAGTAACTGGCCTGACCATATACTATTTTGATGACTAAAGCCTTGGCTGCTTAAGTGTATTTATAGTTTCTTAACTATATGGCTTAATTATCCTTATAAACCAGTTTATGGAGTATATTTCCAGTAGGTACTGCTGGCCTAACAACCTTTCCTTTGTACATGTTGCTAAAGGAGGTTATGATAACTGTATAATTTTCAATAGTAAAAGTACATTATTATTTTGAGATTTTGTAGTTTTATTTCAACTACATAGTTTCAACTAAAAGCACCACAAGGTGGGTTTTAGCACAGGAGTTCAACTGATGTTTTCTTCTTTGCTTAATCAAATGAGTAGGCACATACAGAGCAGAATGAGCTGCCTTATGCAGGGCGGGGGAAGAAGAACAGAACTGCTACTGTTGAAGTAGAAGATTTAAGCAGAATTTCCAGGAAAACATGGGTGGGAAACTACCGAGTTTGTCCCTTCCTGCTTGTTAAGAAACATCTGAATAGGACTTTGGTCTAGCTGAAACAGGGAGTTTACTTACTGAAGGCATGATGGACATCAAATTAGCTAGAATCTGCTTTTCATAATCAAGTGGGGGGGAAAAAGCTAGCTTGGATTTTTTTTTTTTCTCTTTTTTAACTCTAGAGTAACCACTAATAAGTTGTTGCTGTCAATTATCATCATCCTGGAACTAGCCATCCTAGGAGGTGTGGTCTACTACAAGTTCTTCCACAGCAGATGAATCTTCCTGAGTGAGATGAGCTTTTCCACATTGAGGAATTGGATGGGACCGGATGTCTGTTCCCTTTGAATGTCTGAGGATTGAACTGTCTCATGAGACAGCATGTTCAACTGATACTGTACTGACACTAGAAAGACAGAGAATGGGAGTAAAAGGAAAATGCAGAGACAGACTTGAACTACTGGTAAGATTAATAAGAAGGTAATAAATATTTTATTGTCTCAATTTGTATATACTTAACTAAATGAATAAATCTTGGTATGTAATAAAGTAGCCACCAATCAGTGGAAAAGCTAGTTTATTTAAAAATTGAGAAGGTAACAGTATTTGCCAAGTGTTGACAATCTATGCGCTCAAGTGCCTCAGCAGAGCTCTGTAATGTCCAACGTACCCAACACTTTGGGTTCTTAAATCCTCACTTGCTCTTCACTGTCAGATTCATCTGGAGAACTGGGTGTTGGGAGTTCATCAAAAGCGGTGTGTGCTCCTTCCCTTGTCTGCCCAAAGCATGTTGCTATCACGTCGACTGCAAGGCTAGCAGTTGCATTCACTTCCTCTTGAGAAGCTCCAAGCAGTGGATTGACTTCAACCATGTCTACGGCTGAAAGCATTCCTGTGAAAATGGTTTACAGCTTTGTTACTTTGAAGAAGGGTAACATCTCTAATAGGGTTTCTTTTGCAGCCTTTCATTCATTGCAGCAAGTCTGGTATTTGAGCTTGTGACCTACTCTGCCCCTTAGACAAGTAAAATGGGCTCTCAAGTGAGGGATGAGGTTATCATTCTTAGGTGCAAGTTTGTGTTTTTAATTTGGTTCTTTCTTGTATCGTCACTACCTCATTTGTCCATGCTTTTATCAGTCAGGAAAAAGAAGTTTGATGTTCCATATATGCTTATGAGAGGAATGTTTTTTAATCTTGTTTTCTCCCAGTCAAAAATTAGGGGATATAAAATAGTCTTACCTAGTATTTTTTGCCGTCCTGTTAATGAATCTGTTGTCTGGTTGTGGGTTTTTTTTTTCCTTCTTCCCATACCAACTTTATGGCAATTAACTCATTGTTAAAACAATTTAAATAAAAACTCCGTGGCATAAAAAGGAAATTCCTCATATATTGAGTCAACTGCAGTATACTTAGTGAAAGCTTGATTTGCTAGCCTTGAATCCTAGAATGGAACTTCAAACTATTTAAAATTGTTTGCATCCATTTTTTTATTCCAGATGCCCATCTTCACCTCTGGCCTCATGCGTCTAGGAATAGGGGGGACAGTATTATACAAGACCACCAAGTAATTTTTTGGCATTAGTTGTTAATATAATATGTGTTTTATTTACTTCGGTAAGTTGAAGTTGTTGATAGTTAAGCTGCTTCCAACACCCAGGGTATGGCCCAACCATAGGATTTCTTTTTCCCTTACTGAAGGTTGAATTGACTTTGTAAGCACCTTAGGTTTGACTATGTTTATCTAGTCACATGGGAAAAACATAACCAATATGAGCTCTATGTAGTTTGTCCTGTCCTTGCTCATTCCAGCAGCGCTGGCCAACTCCTACCTGTGTTGTGTATTTCCTCTGTGATGTACATGCCTTCTCTGTAAGTCAGTCCACCTAGAACAGGAGTCCCAGTTGCTGGAGCCAGTGAGGGATCAAAAGCATCAATGTCAAAACTCAGGTGAATTGGTCTCTGTCTCCTGAGACAGAATAAAACAAGAAAAGCAATCTCAGAACCTTGACCTTCTTCTACGTGTATTTCTTACTGTCCAGGCTGAGCAGCAAAGTAGCATCATGCTCCACGATGCTAAAGGTCCTAGGTCCTGTACCATGTCTTACACATATTTGGAAAGGGCTTTTTTTATTTTTTTTAATATCTTTGGACTCTGAAACATCTCTTAGCTCAGAACTTTCCCCAGTACACATTGGGAAATCAGAAGTTTGTCTTTCTAAGTTCACTGAGCATCTGCTCAGGTGTGATCTGGCTGAAGATAAGTACTTTAGTTGTAACCATCTTATCTGGTATTTGTCTCCTTAGTTGGAAAAATGTAGAGAAGTGTATGATACAATCCAGCCTTTTCTCCTTTTGTACAGAAAGCCAGGGTGAAAGGCTGAAACATTGATTTGCGTGGCATCTAGGATAGAGGAAGCACCAAACTTGAGGATTTCCTAGACAGCTCATCAAGATGAATGGCGCATTCTGCATTTTTCAGGTCAATAATTGAAGGCTGCCTCCAAACTCTGCCATGCAAGCCTAGTTGAGGAAAAAGTGAAGGATAATCTCAAACCTAAAATGTCAGTTAGTTACTGCGTGAAGTCTGGCAACCCATGACAGCTTAATAAATTGGACACTGCTTGTCACTCAAATGAGCTATTTAACTGGTAGCCTGTGTACTTCCAACTTAAGGCAGATGCTCAGCAGAGAGGAGCATCTGGATTAGCAACTCCTTTACTTGGCACAGCTGCAGCTGGGAAGGGTGAGCACACTTTTAGATACAACAGCGTGCAGCACAGATACATGGACCTTGTTCTGCTTACAGGGCTTTGCTCTACCCTGTGGTGAGAGGTTACCCTTTTAACTCGGATCCTCTCCGTGTGTCCCTAGACTAGCATGATTTGCTCCCTGATCTGGTTCAGCGAACTTGAACAAGGTTAGCAAAGACTTCAGCATTGAACTGAAGTAAGGGAGTGGTCTCAGTGAACTTCACTAGCTGAAAGTGGCAGTTGTCATCAGGACAGCATATGTCTAAGGAGGAAGCCATCAAATGTTTCTACCTCGTGTACCAACAGCTGAATTCAAGTTACTGTCAGTTGCTACATATATTTTTAAAAGAATAATGTATACCCTAGACTCTGAGTTGATTCAGACATTTTGTCAAACTGCAGCAAATGCAGAATTCCTCAAGGAACAGAACAAGTTGTATAAAACAGAGCCACAATTGTAGTGACTAATTTAAGGAGTCTCATAGCTTTTTGTGAAACACTGAAATGGTTCCAGTCCAAGATGTGGAAGTTGAGGACTAAAATCAGTGCTAAGCCTTTCCTATTTACAGATGCTGTCACAGTTCTGTTAGGCTGCCTTACAGCAACAGTGCCCTTCACTTAAATAACTTTCAGGAAAGTAGATATTCAACAAGTGGATGATAAGAGTAGTTTAAAATCAGATAATAGTTTATTACCTGCCCATCAGTTGTTCAAATGTTCTTTCCATAACTTTCTGAATTCCAAGGCGATCAATGTCCCTCATGGAAAAATACTGGATGTCATAGTTCTTCAAAATATAGCTGTTAAAATAAAATTTAAAAAAAACCCCAAACATTACTGGCCTAAGCTTAAATCTAGCAACCCTTGTGAACAGCCACATGTAGAAAGCAGCTTATGATTTCAGCCTTTACAAAAATCCTTTAGTCTAAATTGACTTACTATTCAGCAGGATCCACATCCCTCAAACCAATGTACACAATATCAGACGCTGAAAGGCAGGGCTTTAGCCAGGAAAAGCCAGGAAGTTGTGGTACCTGCGAACAAAGGTTTGGTGTTAGGTTAGTTCAATGACATATATAACAAAACTGTATTTAATGCTTCCCTCAAAACTTTTTATTTATTTAGAGCATCCTTTCTCTGTCTAAACAGAGAAACTTCATTACTTGAGAGTCTGGCTTCGTGATTTAATCAATCCTTGCCTTTGTTGTACCATTTTACCCGAGTTTAATGTTAATGATGTTTTTAACCCTCTTACATTTTCCAGTTTGAAGAGGAGGAATAAAAAGCCCAAATCCACAACCAATAGCTAATTAGCATCAGTGAATGTAAGGGGTAATGATAAGAAACTCGATACCCAGATACAGATCACTTACACAGTGCACTTAATGGTAATGCTGTGTAACTTACCCAGTATGTCATACTCAAGTGGAAGAATAAAAACCAAGGCACCTGCATCTTTTTAGGAGAATCACCAAAAAGTCATGCAAACTCTGTTGCAAAAAAACATTAAAGATGGACAAATTCCAAGTGGGAAGTAAAAAAGGGAAAAAATAAAAGTGTTGGGCCTGTACACTGGGCTACATCATACTGTTTTTTAATGTAGGCCTGAAGAGAGCAGGTCTAGGACAGCAAATGAAAGATGATGATGTCATCATTTTTCATCTTTGGTGATTCAGTAGCCATGGTATGCAATTATAAAAATCCTTCAGTTAGTAATATCTACTAAATTTAGGAGTGCTTTAAATTAACTCAAATTTCTCTTCTTCCTCTCCCAGCTCTGAAAATGGCTACAGCCAACACAGCTGTCAAGCAGCAAGAAGGCTTCGTTTCCCTCTTATACTTCTCAATTACTAATCAGATTCTAGTTACAACACTTGGATGGGTTTTTAAAGGCTAACACACCCATAGCTATATTTAATTACACTGGGATTAAATAAGCACATATAATGAAAGCATTTGTTATTCTGGGGCAATAACCTGAAACTTTTCTGCAGTCATGAATTCAGAAGAGAGAGAAACAAATTGGAGACCACTAGGAAAAATAATTCAGGTCTCCAAAATGAAGCTGTATCTGCAAAACCCATCACCATACCATAAGCTGAGCATAGTGTTGATAAAATTGTCAGATATTCTCTAGTATCAATGATTTAGTAGATTTAATACTGCCATTTTTAATTATACCTCTTCCTCTTGAAATAAAGAAAACTGAATGCCTTAACTTCCTTTGGTAGGCTCTGTTTTTACTTTGTTGCAATAGAAAAGAAGTTGCTGATAGTAAAGCCAAACAGGCATCAGAAAAAGGTGCAGGCATTTTCATGGTAACTTATTAATAGCAGTTTGTGAGTTTAGCCTGAGTGGTTCCAGGAGCCCTGACACTAATACTCAGTTTGAGGAATGCCAGTCAAAGGATTATGTTTGTAAATATTTTCCCTTAAAACAGCAAATTAATTGTAAAAGTTTTTTAAAAGCCCTAAAGCGCCACCTTGCCTTGCAGCGTACCAGGCGGTGCTCCTGTGAAGCTACCAGGACAAACACGGAGCAGCTGACAGCCTGTGAACAAGACTGTGCAAGCAACACCAGGGTTTGTTCTACAGCAACCTGGCCAAATGCTTTATTTTATCTCATAGCCAGATACATCACTTTTGTCCCCATGTAGCAGACAACATGAAGTATATTTAATTCAGTAGAGTATTGACCAAGTTCATTAGCCCTGGATACATAAGGGATTCTGAAAACAGGTGAGATGATAACACCTAAACTGAGGGACTTGAAACAGCCTTGGGGAGTTCTTGGCAGTTGTGCTAATTTAAGCAGTTGCTGC